TGTGTGTCTGTTTGTATTTTTAAAGATTGCTTTATAGAGAGAGAGAGAGAGAGAGAGAGAGAGAGAGAGAGAGAGAGAGAGAAACAAGTGGGTTCCCTCAGCAGGGCCTCAGCCAGTCTCAGGCTCCCGGGGTGTGCATGCGAACCCCACATGGCCTGAACCCTGGCCGTCCACGGGGCCCCGACACCGCAGTGGCGTGCTCCGGCCTGCGCCATCGTGGCCAGGTCTGTTAATGTTATTTTTTGATTAGAATAGTAGCTTACGCTCATAGGAGAAGCTTTGAAAGATCATCGAAGCTGTGAAAAAGTAGAAAAAATTATTCATAATCTCACTACCAGTAATCTGCTAATATTTGCTTTATTTTCTTCTGTATTTTTTGCCATGTGGGAGTGTTTCCATGGCTGGGGTCTTACTGGTGTTTTTATTTCCGTGTGTTTGTGTGCTCGACGTTAGGGCAGGATGTCTCGATGTATCTGGTCGTTCTGTCTGTAACAGGTTCCGCTGCGGGACTGTGCTGTCGTTAGCTGCTCACAACCAGGTTTGGGGCGTTGACGCTGTCCCTGGCTTTTAGAGCGACGGTGATCAAAACCAGCCCCAAAGCTGAGTTCTGAGCCGTCCCCGTGTGACCCCAGAGATGGCCCCAGACTTGGCCTCCGAGGTGTGGGTGCAGCTCTCCGGTCCCCTCTGTGTTCTGCGTGGTGGGTGGTTGGCTTATTTTCTTATTTACAGTCTTGGCCTTAGGGCATGCATGCTCACAGAGAAGGAGAGAGAGAGAGAGGAAGAGAGAAATCACATCCCAGGGGGATGGCCAAGCCACAGTCCCTTTTCCTGCATTCTCCTGTAATTTTGAGCGCTCACACACACTCACCCAGTGTGATTTTTAAGCCACCAGGTCTGGGGCTTGAACCGTGTTTGAACTTTGAGCGTCCAGGGCCTTAACCAGTACGCCACCCTCTGGCCTGACACACTGGGATTTCGACGTTTTCACTCAGTGAGAGGATTCAGTGAGGAGTTGTATTAAAAGTGCAGAAGGTTGCTGAAACGTTTATGGTAGAACCAAACGGTGTCTAGAGGGTCGTGTCAGGGTCCCCGGGTTTAACCAGGTTGGGGACCGATGTGCATGATGTGTTACGTAACACCAGTGTGTGTAAAATACTTATATAATACATAAAATATTATGCGCAGTGTGTTTTTCTTAGCAAAGAAGTAGAGCCTCTTGCTTTTGGGCTCAGCGAAGGCATTGTACTTGGGGCGCAGGGCCCAGGGCCCAGGTTGCCCTGCGTCATGAGAGGCGTCTGCACTGGAGGGTGTCGCGGGTTGTGGAGAGCTGCTACCAGGTGGTGTGGGCGGGCCTCCCGCAAAGGTGCACAGCCTCCAGCCAGCCTAGTCCTGGCGGACGTGCACGGAAGCAGCTCTCCTGGAAGAACCTTCCTGCCTTCCACACGCGTCCAGGGGGCGACGTCTGGAACTGACGGACAAAGTCTAGCGAGAGCG